TTTCTAAAAATACCATTTGACTCTGATGAAAACTGTTATGGAAAATGGGCTGGCACATTCCTACATGTTCTAGGTCATATTGTACCACCCGAGTACAGCCAATGGGTGTGGCTGGCTTAACTTGGTCTCTGCAGACCTTAAACCAAGGCCTGGATAGATGGTGAATTTCAACTAAAAGGAGTGGAATTCAGTACCGGTCATTTTTTTTTCTTTGTTTGCTTGTTTGTTTGGTTTTTTTTTTTTTATTAGTGAAACACCTTGAGGTACAGTTATAGGCTTACAAATTTTGTGCTTGGGTTTCAGTTATACAATGATCAAGTGCCCATCCCTCCACCAGTGCCCGTCATCCATCACCACGGGTCCCAGCATCCCCCCCCCACCCCCCATCCCCCCGTCCCATCCTGCTTCTGTGGCAGGGTATTCCCCCTTGTTCTCTCTCTCTTCTTTTGGGTACTGTGTTTTGCAAGAGAGGCATTGAGTGGCAATCATGTTTGGTCTATAGACTACTTTTAGCATGCTTCTCCCACCCTGGGAGGGTCCTCACAACACCCTTCATTTGGTGCTCTCTTCTAATCAAGACAATGCACACTTACAGAAGCCACACAAGCTAGGCTATTCTAAAGCAGCCAATGGGAATGTGCTACGTGGATAATAATGAAAATTTCACAAATGATCATGCTGAGGTCATCAGTGGTGCAAACCAGAATTCCTTCCACTCCTCCCCAAATGTCCATGAAAAACTGACCTCCAGACTGTCCTGCTTGCAAGTAGATTGTCAAAAAATGCTTCAATGTGTGCCTTCTTGTTGATATGATTTAGAATTTACTAAATATGACATAACCAATGCACAAAATGAAAATGACAAGGCAATATTGGAGGTTCCAGCTGTTTCAGCTATACAGCAATTATTTAGAGCAGGTCAGCTCACTGCCTCTATCATGGTCCGAATCATACACATTACTGACTTTTCAGGGCAGACAACACACAACGATCACAACTTCTTAACTGCCATCAGAGGAGGAAGGCAGTCAGATACCACATGTGGATGGATGGCATAGCTCTGTGTTAGTCAACAAACCTTGAGTTAGAAAATTAAGGAGCAGCCCGGGGTAGTTAGGCTTGTTTCAGTGTTTTCATTCCTCAAAGCAGAGTCACTGCTCTACTGACGGGCTGTCATTAAAAAGACGTGTCCAAAAAGAGGAACTTAAGGCAAATGGGAGTAATCTTGCCACTGCTGAATTGTCCCTGGTAATCCAGGTTTCCAGGCTGAGACATCTGGAGCCAAGTCCCTGCCCTGTGGAGAAGCCTAGGGCCCCACACCCACAGACTTCCTCCAGCGTATAAACAGCCCAGTGACAGGCCTCCTCTCGGAGAGATGACACGTTGCTGGACTGTCCTAGTCCCATAGCTCCTGCAGCACGTGGCTGCATGTGACATCGCCTAATTTCACAGCACTGACAGCCCAGTAGGAACACAGAAAAATTAGATGGAAAGCCTGAGCTTAGTGGGCGCAGAAACCCTCTAAGCTCAAGGAGTGAAAACAGTAACCCAGAAGGCTCAACTAGCACCGAACACTGCAGCAAATCCTCAGGCAACAACTTTAATAATACCAGTGTGAGAGATATGTTGTAACAAGCAATATAAAGTAAATCATTGAGTGCTGGCTAAGGGTGCAGGCTTGGTGGGGGGGGGAATGGGTGGAAAACCAGGGACATTGGCGGAAGGAAGGTCACACTGGTGGTGGGATTGGTGTTGGAACACTGAGTGTCTGCAACAAGTGTATTATGAACAACTTTGTGTATCATAGTGTTTAAATAAAGTTTCGAACAGAGAAAAGGTAAATTATGGGGGGGGAGAGAGGAGGGAGAAAGAGAGGAAAAGGGAGAGTGGGGAAAGAGGGAGGGAGGGAGGAGAGAGAGAGAGACAGAGAGAGACAGAGAGAGACAGAGAGTACAGCAGATAAGGTGCTTCTTTTCCTTGCATGCAACGGATCCCAGTTCCTGACACCACATAGGGTCCCCTTAGCACCACCATGAATGTTTCCTTAGCATAGAGACGGGAGTAGCTGTGAGCACCACTGGGTGTTGCCTGAAAACCAATTTAAAAAACAGTAGAAGCACACTAATAAACTACCACATATATATATGTATATATAGCACAACGGGTAGGGCGTTCGCCTTACAAGCGGCCAACATGGCCGACCCGAGTTCGATTCCTCCGCCCCTCTCGGAGAGCCCGGCAAGCTACCGAGAGTATTCGATATGCCAGACACAGTAACAACAAAGTCTCCAATGGAGACGTTACTGGGCCCGCTCGAGCAAATCGACGATCAACGGGAGGGCCTTTACCTTTACCTTTACCCAGTTTTTCTGGATATCACCCCGGTCCAGGTCTGTCCAAAAAGAGACCCTGGAATCGTTCTTGTTCTTGAACCATGGACGGTGCTAGTGGGCTGCCCAGCACAGACTAGTCAGTGATGCCACTGCCCCCCGGAGCATGGCTCCTGCCCACTAGCGCCTTGTTCAGAGGCCGCCTATTCTTGTGCCCTCGTTGGGAGCCACTTGGGGTCGTGATGGGCCGGGTGCCCCAGAAACCCTGAGTTGGTACCCCATGTATCACGGACGGCTTCGTTCCCCGGGGCAGCGCAGGAAGAGGAGGGGAGCCGCTCTCTTGTTGGAACTGACAACTCATTTCCCTCTGGGCCCCTCTGGCCCCTCCAGGTGCTTCCCTGCAGCTGGCTGGGCCCACAGGGCCAGAAGAGAGTTTCAGAGCAGAGAAGGGAGGGTAGGAGCCGGGGCTCAGGAGGCTGCCCCCATGTATCTGCCACTCTGCAGAGGGCTGCTTCCGCCTTCTCCGACCTGACTGCCAGTGGCGACCCCCGAGTCCCGCAAGTGTGACATGTCCAGCAGGGTGCAATGCTGACCCAAGGCCCCAGGAGGCATCCAGGGCACCCATGGACTATTGATTCCTCCTGGGTCCTCCTTGACACTGTCACCGCCTTTCTTTAGGCTGCCCCTTGGTGGAGAAAAAAGGGCTGACCCCAGGGGCCAGAGTGATAGCACAGCGGGGAGGGAGTCTGCTTCCACGTGGCCAACCCGGGTTTGATCCTCGGCATCCCATATGACCCCCAAGTACCGCCAGGAGTAATTCCTGAGTGCAGAGCCGGGAGTAACCCCTGGGCATCATTAGGTGTGACCCAAAATGCCTTGGGCAGCCAGAGGCTCTGCTCCTTAGTAGCTGCGTGACTGCTGGTTAGTGTCTGGGCCTCTCTGTGATGTGAAACCAGCCTCCTGGGGGCTCTCTCTGTCCTGTCTAAGCCCCAGACAGGCCCGAATCTCTACCTCCCCGTGACCAAGGGTGTCCTGAACCAGCCAGGTGGCAGAGGTGCCGTGGCCGCAACTGGGAGGGCAGTGGGGCTGGACTGCCAGCAGGAGTCTGGGTCCCTCCCACCTGGGGAGCCGCTGCATGGGCGCAGCCATATTCTGGGCCTGGCCTGGCCCTCACAGCACCCCCGAGGGGCAGGAGCCGTGAGTTGTCTTTCTGGTGAGGGGAAAAGATGAAGCATCTCTGCAACAGGATGGAGATGGACACAGAAAATCTGTAAGCGTGGGAGCTGGGACATGAACTAGGGTATTCCAGAGCCTCTCGCTTAAGTACCATGTCCCACACCTGCCTCCAGAGAAGATGCAGAAGCCCACATCATCCTCCTCCAAGTCTTCCACCTTTGCCTGAGAAGCCTGAACACACCTAGGTCCACTGGTTCCTTGAGGATCTGAGCTGGGGTGGAGGCGGGGGTCTCTGACCCTCTCCCCCCCCCCCCCCCCCCCCCCCCAGAGCGTGGCAACTGCAGGGATGGTCTCTCTGAGAGCTACTGGGTCACCATGCCCCTCCCCCTAGTGAGAAAGTCCTGCTGGGGCAGAGGAGGGGGTTACATCTCATATCCACCCCCCCCAGGCTGGAGTGAGCCCCCTGAGCCAGTCACCAGGAGAGCTTCACCAGAGCCCCTCAGAAGAGGCCCCAAACCCCAGGACGCGGCTGCATCAGAATCAGAACACAGCTTCCCGTCTCGGGCCTGGTGTGATTCAGTAAGCACTGCTGGGGGTGGGGGGAGTGAGGGGCATGAAGTTGACATTTTCTCTTTATTTGCTACTCCCACCACCTTCCCTAGGTGAGTCTGATGCCCTACAGACAAATCATCCGAAGCCATTCTTGACGCAGAAAGCTCTGAACGTGCCCCACCTGGACCAGAACCTCAACATCTAGCCTGAAGCCACATCACAGACCTGAAGAGCTTCAGAAAACCCCAAAGGACAGAAAAAGGCCCAGATCCCAATATGGGGGCCCTCCCCAGGCCAACTCCCTCTGTATCTGCCATGTGCATGTGTGTGTCTGTGTGTGTGTGTGTGTGTGTTTGGGGGTGTGGGGGGTCATGACAGAATTTCTAGCAACTGCTGCTGACTCAAATGTGCCACTAGGGCTGAGGCTGCCGTCCTTCCTGTCTTCACAAAGGAGGCTCTGAGACCCTCCCACTAAGGGGCCAGGGAGTGAGTGGGTGGGTGGGGGTTTTTCAGGCAGGAGGGGAGTGGAGAAGACTGGGGCAGTTGGGGAAAGAAGACATGGAGAACTGGTGGGGGTGGGGAGGCTGTACTCCATGGAGGGAGCAGTTGCCAGGGACAGACGACATGGAGGTAAGAGAATTTTGCGGGTTCCAGACGCCTTTCCTGCTCAAGGAGCCTCTGAGGACTCTCAGCTCTCAGGAAGCTCCAGGAAGGCAGAAGTAACAACCACAGCAACATTAATGAATGATGAGTGTGTGTGTGTGTGTGTGTGTGTGTGTGTGGTGTTTGGGCTCCAACCCAGAGCCTTTCCTGCAGAGCTAAAGGCCAAGGCCTGGTCTAATGACCCATTTGAAGGAAGGAGAATACGAGTTAGCTCATTCAAGGAAGACCCATAATGGCACCCCGGCAAGGACACACAGTGACGACTGTGGTCTCTTACCTGTGCTGAAGGCACCACTTCCGATGACCAAAACTCAAACACCGTTCTCTTTGAAAGCCAGCATTCATGTCCACGCCGGCCACGGCTCCCTCCTCTCACGCTTGGCTCTTCTTCCTGGAAGGGTGAGCTGACCTGGCCAGGATCTCGGGAGGCTCCTCCATGAACTAGTCTGAGGCTGTTCAGATTGTGCCTGGAATCCTGCAAGGGACGATGGGAAAGCACGGTCAAAGAGTCGGCTGGGGCAACTTTTTTTTTTTTTTAGTTTTTGGGTCACCACTAGCAATGCTCAGGGGTCATTCCTGCCTCTGCACTCAGGAATTATTCCTGGGGTGCTCAGGAACTATATGGGATGCTGGGACCGAACCTGGGTCAGCCGCATGCAAGGCAAATGTCCTACCTGCTGTACTATCTCTCTAGTGGGTAACTACTGAAGACACAGAAAAATCTCTGCTGGTCCCAGGAACTTGGGGTCCCCACCCCTCCCACCCTGATTATCTCAGAACAGGGCTGGATTCTTATGTCCTCCCGAGAGGTGGTATGGCTGGTGGCCCTACCTGTCCCTTTCTACCTGGCACCAGACACTAGCTCCTCTGAGCCACTGCTCCTTTACCGGCAAGTGGAGAGGATTCCATGATGGCCCTCAAAGGTTTCGTGGTACACACACCCTGCTCACAGGTAGCCCTTGTCTTATTGCATTTTGCTTCACAGTGCTTCTCAGACACTGTGTTCCTTATAAACTAAAGGTCTAGGGAACCCCATGCCTACCTATCCTCCCCACCCCTTTTTCCCAGAAGCACGTGCTCCTTTCGTGTCTCTGGCTCTGGCTTCAGTAAAGCATGAATACTGTATATTCAGACGCGATGCTGGCACATTTAATAGCAGAAACATCACTTTCCTAGGTGCCCGGAAGTGAGAAAATGGTGTGACTTGCCCATTGGTGGCGCTCTGGACCCAAACCGGCCTGTCTCCAACGGGTGCTGTGACCCTCAAGACTGTGACGCAGATAGCAACTCATGTGATGACAAACAGGATGTTATTCAGGGGGCTTGGTGGAGAAGAAAAGCCCCTGAGAGGCAGTTTCCTCAGGCTGGTCACGGGCTAGGCCAGAGATTGGAATCAGGTGCAGAAAAGGTGCCAGTGTAGCCTGGAAGAGGAAGAGGGTTCCCTGGAAGGAGCCCAGAGCAGCCTCTGGGAGGTGAGAACCAGCTCCTCTGTACCCGAACCCCATGTGGCCATCAGCAAGAAAACTGAATCCAGTCATGCAACACCAGGACCCAGAGTCCACCAGCCCCTGGAATGAGCCTGCAAAACTGCTCGTTTGTCACAGAACCTTCAGGGGAGAATTCAGTCGATGGGTGCCTTCCTTCCTGCCCAGAGCCGAGACTGCTGCCACGTCACCCCAGATGCAGGCACTTAGAATGCCTCCTAAACAGCGAATGTTGCTAGAAGTCACCATGTTTGGGGCTAATTTGTTACACAACAAGACAAGACAGGGACCGGAGCGATAGTCCAGCAGGTAGGGCATTTGCCTTGCATGCGACTGACCCTGGTTTGATCCCCGGCATCCCAAATCTTCCCCCTGAGCTCACCAGGAGTAAATCCTGAGTGCAGAGCCAGGAGTAAGCCCTGAGCCCCTTTGGGTATGGCCCCCAAACAAAAACAAAACAAAACATAACAAGAGAAGACAAACACAACCTGCAAAAATGATCTGATCCCAGGAAGGGGGTGATATCAGTGACCGACCTCAGAGAGCAATGGAATCCCCAAAGCATTCTGGGCAGGAGCGGAGCATCAATTCCCGGGTGAAGAGACCAATAATCTGGCCTCCAGTGCAGGCTGGTGCTCAATGCCGGTCCACTCAATAACCGCCTATGGCAGGAGGAGCAGCTAGAGCAATGTGCTTCTGGACCGGGAGCCCCATTTTGTTTGGTGGCTCTACTCTCTCGGTCTGTGCTCCCAGAGTCCTCTTGGTGCCATGTGTCCAATGGCTGAGTCATCTCACTTCCAGGGCCAAGATACTTGGTTCAATCACCAGTCCGTTATTGTTCGTGAACATGGCTCAGCTTTGCCATGCCTGGAAAGGGGGTGGACATGATGGGCACATTCCTGGGCTGTAATAATTCAGGCAATCCACAGGTCTCCTTGGAAGCCCGGCACACAGCACCCAGGCTCACGGCCAGGGACTCTCCCAACTGCATCCAGCTGTGTAGATTTGGCTACACACAGGCCCTGCATATGGCCACCCTCTTCTCGGGCACCACACTTTTGAGAGTGACACACCTTGGAAGATAGTTTGGGCAGCCACCTCCCATGACTGAGTCCCAGAATACTGAGCAGTGACAAAAGGCCCTCTGTAGCACCCTCCTGTCACATAGCCCACAGCTTGGTGCCCGTGACCTTGCCCTGGGCCACCTGACTAACACTTCCTGAGTCTGTGGTCCGTGTCCTCCCTACTTCACCTCTCTGTCCATCACACCCCTGCACCCCCTCCCACACACCCTCCGATCCACCCTCATTAATAAAATCCACGGGACTCTGCACTTCCCAGGGCAGAAATACTGTGTTTGCACAATTCTCATCTCAGCCTTTGCCACTGTTCCCACAGACATGACTATCGGTGCCACCTTGCCCACCTCCCTCAGAAAGCTCAGCCATACGTCCCAAACTAAAGTTTCCCTTCCCTAAATAGCCAGAGTGCATCTGGGGTCCTCAGAGCTATCACAAGCCCCCCCCCCCCAGCCCTGAAGTCTCAGAGTCTCAGAGACAGTGCCATCCCCCTGACAATCTGACCCACCCCTCGAGCCAGGCACGAGTCTCTCACAGTGGGGGCACCCCTCTGCCTTCACCACCTCGTTTCTTTTATTCATGACTATCCAGACATGCAATCATCTCAAAGTGCCTGCTATTTTTTTGAAGGCCGCAATCGGGGATTGGGGATCACTTGGCCCATGCCTCAGTGGGGGCAGGAGAGGCAGTGGGAGTGGGCACGAGAGGGGTATAGGCTCCAAGGGTGCTCATAGTGTCAAGATTCCTCCACAGCACCAAAGAAGGAAAAGAAGGCAAGAGATTCGGGGGACGTCTGAGGGGTAGGAGCAGATATTTTCAACCAATGGAGTGGTGGAAGAGAACGGAAGATCCCAACGGGCCAAAAGTTGGAGAAATTGCCTGCTGTCCCTATGCTGAATGGGGACAGCGCCTGGGGGAGGAGTCGGGTAGGCTGGACCTGACCCCGTGGTGGACGGAGGACACTGAATCACTTCCATGGATGAGGTGATGCATCAGGACGAGGGGTGTGGTTGGAGAAGTGAAATCAGGTGTGGTGCCTCTTTCCCCCTGACCCCCCACCCCCACCCCGCCTCCCCTGGCCACCAGAGGAGGCAGCATCACCTGAAGGCGGTTCCAGAGGAACCTCCACAGCAGGTGGCAGGGACCGTGGACACAGTGGCCGCTGTACCCCTGGAGCAACGCCGCACACACCTGCTGTTCTACAGGGCAAACCAGACCCATCTGTTTTGCCTCTTTTGGCTAATCGGCAAGGAAATGAAAAGAGACGCACACAAGGAAGAACAACAGAGCTGTCCTGCCAGACGGCCAGCAGGTCTGAGGAAAAGCAGATGAGCACCGTGACAGAAAATCAAATCAGGGCCCTGTGGCCTCACCCACCTCGGGAAGGGCAGGACTGGGCCCATCTGCCAAAGTCCCGGGCAGTCCCTCCGCGGCCTTGCAGCGGGATCAGCAGGTCCCACAGAGATTTCTGAAGGCTCCAAAATGAAAGGGAGGGAAAACAGAAGCCAGTAGCTCTCACTGACTTTCACCAGGAACCAACCTTTTCCTCCAGAGACTTTAGCCTGGTGAGGAGTTTGACTGTGACCAATAGAAACTTCCAGAAGGTTGCATCAACTTTTCCATCAATCAGTGCCCTGAGATTCCTTAACTCCCTGGTCCATTATTCCCAACTGTCTCTTTCCTCTGGTTCCTGCCTGCAGTGCTGTTTCCTACACGAGCTCCACATGTGGGTTACCATTCTAGGGGAGACTCGGACCCCACCCCATCCCAACCTGCCTCACTCCTCCAGACAGGCCAAGACTCCTGCAGGAGATGTTGCCCTTCACCCCAGGAAAACAGTATACTCAGCTTTGTCTCTGACAGTCGACAAAAACTGGGAGAGTCAAACTGACATTGGACTTGACACCAAGCCCAAGCCTGGCCGGAGGGCAACAGAGCATTGGCTGCTGAGCTGAGGGGGAAGGGGGCTGTAACCTGGGATGTGTTACTCAGCCGAGACTCAAAGCCAAAGCCCTCAAAATAGCATGCCACCCACTTTTCTTTTCTTCAAACAATTACGCAAGGAATTACTCCAACACAATAAAAAGTGTACCAGAAAAAGTAATTCAAGAAAGAGCAAGAACAGTAGAAAAATAGACCGTCAAATCCAAAGAGGTTTTCACCATCACCATCTCATCTTATTGGGAACTAGAGACCGTTTCATTCTTGACACTGACAGAAAGGTAGGGGTTTTAGGTTTCTAGTTAAGGGTAAACATTTCTAGGAGAAATTTGAGATACGTCACTTTGAGAACAATGAGAGGGAGGATCAATGAAAATTCAGTTAATTCAGTAAGTTAGAAAAAGCACTAAAGAGATAGAAAAAAGGGCCATCAATGAGACATTAAATAAAATGATTAAAGACCAACATATCAATAAATACAAGAATGTGATTAATACAATATAAGACAAGAAATTAGGTGGGTACAAAGAAATTCAATCATATGTTGTTGGAAAGGACACTTAAATTGACAAAGATTGAAGGTCAAAAACGGCAAAAAGATATAACAGACAAACTGGTCACAAAAGAGTATGTAAAAGCCATTATCAATGGTGAATAAAACACAAAAATACTAGATGAAATATACTGTCAATGGGTCTATTCCTCTAATAAGAAACAAAAATAAGGAACTTTTAACCTTAAAAACAAAAGCATAAATGACATGAAATACCACATGTTCAGAACCACAGAGACAAAAAAAAAAAACAGCATAGAAATGTCTCAAAAACACTACTCAAAATCTGATCATACAATAACCTCCAAGGAAAAATGTTAAGGTTTTAAAGATTGCTCTATAACTTCATATCTATTCAAGAAATAGACATTTTTTGAGAACCTTTGCTGAAGGGTCCTTGTACTTGATGAAAACCTCA